TAAATCATTTCAGAACATTTTCCACCTTTAACGTATCCTATAAACTGTACAACTCAGTTGAACAACAAACTGAAATCTTTTAGGTAGAGGAGAGTAAAAATAAAAATATGGTTGCATAAGTGTACACACCCTTAAACTAATACTTTGTTGAAGCACCTTTTGGTTGTATTACAGCACTCAGTCTTTTTGGGTATGAATCTATCAGCATGGCACATCTTGACTTGCCAATATTCGCTCACTCTTGCAAAAACACTCCAAATCTGTCAGATTGCGAGGGCTTGTCCTGTACACAGCCCTCTTCAGATCACCCCACAGATATTTGATCAGATTCAGGTCTGGGCTCTGGCTGGGCCATTTCAAAACTTTAATCTTCTTCTGGTGAAGCCATTCCTTTGTTGATTTGGATGTATGCTTTGGGTAGTTGTCATGCTGAAAGATGAAGTTCCTCTTTATGTTCAGCTTTCTAGTAGGAGTCTGAAGGTTTTGTGCCAATATTGACTGGTATTTGGAACTGTTCATAATTTCCTCTACCTTGACTAAGGCCCCAGTTCCAGCTGAAGAATAAAACAGCATGCTGCCGCCACCATGCTTCATAGTGGGTATGGTGTTTTTTTGGTGATGTACTAACTAATCTTTTGGAATAATGACCAAAAAGTTCAACCTTGGTTTCATCAGGCCATAACACATTTTCCCACATACTTTTGGGAGACTTCAGATGTGTTTTTACAACATTTTGCTAGGCTTGGATGTTTTTCGTCGTAAGAAAAGGCTTTTGTCTTGCCACTCGACCCCATAGCCCAGACATATGAAGAATACAGGAGATTGTTGTCACATGTACCACACAGCCAATACTTGCCAGATATTCCTGCAGCTCCTTTAACCACTTTACCCCCCTTCTTGACCAGGCCTTTTTTTTCTATTCGGAGCTGTGCTATTTCAACTGCTAAGTGTGTGGTCATGTAATGCTGTACCCAAACTAAATTTATACAAATAGAGCTTTCTGTCAGTGGTATTTGATCACCTGTGCGCTTTTTATTTTTGCCCTACAAACAAAAAAAACCTGAATTTTGAAGACTATATTTTTTACTGTCCATTATAAAAAAATATATAGTAAACTCACAGTTAGTCATAAATGTAAGCCAAACTGTATTCTGCTACATGTCTTTGGTATAAAAAAATCCCAATAAATGTATATTGATTGATTTGTGTGAAAGTTACAGCGTCTACAAATGGTGTTATAGATATTGGAATTTACATCAAGATCTTCTATATAGAGCCTCCCATTCATTCCAGTACAGCTGAGGCTGCAGAGAAAGGGACTGAGAAATGTTCTAATCCCTTTCTCAGCTCCAAAAATGAGAAATCGGGATCTGCTCAGACCCCTCATATTTCACCAAAGCCCCCCCCCCAAAAAAAAAAAAAGTATTGTGAAAAATAAAAACATAACAAATTAAAACTTGTAAAAAATAACTATAAAAAAATGTGAAGCTTCATTTATACTTCAGTTGGGGGGGGACGGGAGGGACAAACAGATGAGCTATGTTTTTGCAATAGGCAAGGGAAATGGGTGTTTTCATATCGCGGCAGTGATGCTTTGCACTCTTGGCAAAGTTGACCTGACTTGTAGAAATCACCCACCAGGCAACAATACACATTCATATCAATGGGGAAGTGTTGCATTTGCCCCGCAACCGGGTGTTGTGGCATATTTGTCAGCAAAAATGAGGTTAAAGCATTGCTTCCTCACCACCTGTTAGTAGCCTCCAGAAAGCGATCTGAACATGGAGTGGGCTTCAGAGGCAAGGGAGATTTAGATGCATGAATAAATCTACCCTTAAGAATAATCTTTTAAATAATTAGGGCTCATTCACAGGGGTTCTCTGTCCCACACAGTGTGAATGAGGTTTATTTGTGCAGCTAGGTTGGTCTATTACTCTATGAGGATGCAGCAGTTGTACTAACACAGTCACAGGTCCTGATTTGACAAGTGTGCAGGAGAGCAGCCCTGAATGCACAATGTTTTTCAGGCTATACACCTGCATCCACATACCCGTCAACTTAGGACTTGCGCTTGTGTTCGTACAGTTGCTGCATCCCCATAGCATAACATAGGCTGCCTGCAGTAAATCTAGCTTCATAAAAAAAAAAAAATGCTGATTCATGTTGTGCAGGGCCACATGGCTGCTTTATTTAACTCAATAGTTTTAGATTTTACAGGGCTTTTGTATATTATGATGTGTTTGTGCCTGCTAATAATGATTTTAGTGTACTTTTTTTTTTAAAGTGAAAATAGTGATTTTTTTTGAGGGGTTGCCCTGTCAGGTAGACTGTACGGGGCCCCATGATTTTTAACAGCAGCCCTGCCCTGCTGCTCCATCTACTGAGCCCTGGGTACTACTCTTTTGGTAAGGATGGATGATGGAAGAGGTCTGGTAGAGCATGGGGGAGGTTATGATGAGGGGAGACTGGTGATGGTGCTCTGAGGGTGACACTGGTGCCAGGGCTGTTTTGAAGGCTCTCTCTCCAGAAACTAAGTCATCTCATAGCTTACTAACAAACTACCACAATATCCAAACCCTGGTTTAAACCAGTAAAACAAAAGGTATTGCATTGGGCACCAAAAGCTGCATGTCTACAGGGAGTTACTGGTGGAAATTAATAGCTGTAAGGCCAATTCATAAGCATCAGGACTGACTTAAATGCATCATGCAGTGGTAAGGTTCCAGTTTAGAAAGATATGCTGACTTTGATGTATGAACAAAAATGGTGCTGCTGTTCTGGAAAGAAAATATAAAGGCATTGTGGTTGATTTGCTAAAACTGGAAAGTGCAAAATCTGGTGCAGCTCTGCATGGTAGCCAATCAGCTCCTACCTTCAGTCTGTTCTATTAAGCTTTGACAAAAAACAAAAAACTGGAAGCCGATTGGTTTCTAAGCAAAGCTGCTCCAGATTTTGCACTCTTGAGTTTTAGTAAATCAACCCCATTGTCTCTATTTGAGACCCATGCTAGGCCTACTATTAAGCCTTGGTTCACATACATGCGGTGCGGTATATCGCATGTGATTCGCACAGGAACCGCACCGCATTCCTGTGCAAATCGCATACATTTTGTATGGCTCTAATTGCACCGCACCCACACCAAAAACATGCAGGACCCTTTTTTGGGTCTGCACTAGAATCAGGTTGCATGGGTATGTGATCCAATTCTGCACAACGCACCGCATTTTGCGGACCGCTTTCAGAGTGTTAACATACACACCCGCAGCGGTTTGCATGAACGGGGTACGATTCTGATGCGGTGCGGAATTCACACTGAAAATGCTGCGAATTCTGTGTGAACCAGGGCTAAAAGGGAAGTGAGACCAAAGCTTTTTTTGACCATATTTCTCTTCTGGATTACAGGAGTTCACTTACATATGCTCTCCTGTGACCCAGAATCAGCTGTCAATGGGCTAAAGCTTCCTGTCAGCTGATGTCATAGAAGCACCCCTGTTAAATCTAAATTATGATTCGGCATTGATATTGATGGCAAGCTTGCAAAATATTTGGTTTTTATGATTAGTCATAATTAATATTAATATGTGTGAATGGTCTTTGACAAATGGTAGTATTTACTATTCTTTAATTATTGCTGAGACCAAAAGATATACAAGTTAAGCTGAAATAGTATATACCAGTTGAAGGTTGAGTATGCTATATTTAGGCATAAAAGTATTTGGTAGTTATGTCAAGGTTATTAGAAGGGACTAACTATTACAGTACGTATTTTAATGGTATCTGTGTATATTTAGTATACGTTTCTAACATTGATACATTTACGTCATTAGCTTATAATATTGGTACATCAGCATACATATGTTCCTGTCCATCAAACATCATATGTATAGCATCTTTTCCTTATATGAAATGGCTTTGCTAAGCAGTAATACTTTCCATAGAAGGTATTAAGATCACTAACTATGACGTACATTTGCCTCTTAAAAGTCCATGAGACGACGGACATGGGACACTCACTCACACACTCTCTCTCACACACACACACGTTATATGACTCTTGCATACACACGTCTGAGAAGCTGCAACAGGTGCATACTGAGATCACTTCCAGCTACAATTTAGTCACATCCGGCTTCTCCTTCTTCACAAAGTCATTGAGAAGGACAGCATGGAGTATCGCACATGGCAAGGACAGAACGGCCATGACAGATAATGGTGACTTTTTCTTTGAACTTTCGCTTGTCATTTTTACAATAGTTTTATCTACATGGAACTGTTCATTATACGCTTTACATTGTTTATTTGACACCATTGTGTGATAGAATAAAATCACACTTCATTTTTTATTTCAATGGCTCTTTCATTCATAATCGCCTCAAGACACTAGAAGCAGTATTATATGTGTCTAAAAATCCTACAACCCCAAACTCTGGAAGTATCTTTATAATAATGCTGGGATCCATACAGATTCCTCATCAGCAGCTGGCTCAGCCTATCAGCGTGCTGTTGAGAGAATGAGCCAGCTGCTCCTGGCCCCTCCCCAGTACTGTGCTCCAGCAAATGATGGAGGGCAGAACAGAGAGTGATAACTGACAGTCATAGCTCTCTGCTCAGAGCCAACCAAGAACTGACTGAACAATCAACAGTCATGCAATCGCTCGGTTCTTGGGCTTAGAACCGGCGGGGAACAGTCGTAGCATTAGACCAACACTGCGGCAGGAAGGTGAGCATGTGTGGTGGTTTTTTGTAATCCCACATTTCTCCTTTAATGTATTTCATCATTTGTCACTTTGGCACATATGCATGATCATTTTTTTTTTTAAGTTGCGCCCCTACAGCAATGTAAAGATGAATAAATATTGAGGGTTTTTTCTCGAGTGTTTTCTTCACGCAATTTTGATGGCTGAAAAAGATGAAAATACAGCAATACATTACTGCAGTAACAAAGCTGTAATCTTCAAAGTAAGTTGTAACAGGAAGTATGGTCCACCAAGTGTCACTGGTCAGCACTGCACAAGAAAAAGCTCAGCACTGCCTGTTATCTGCAGCTCATGAATGGATTTCAGATCAAACACAGGAGGGCAGAAGTCACTGAGAGGGGTCCCATTAATGGCAAGCCTGAATAGTCCATCTTCAGGAAGGATTAATATCTATAAAACAGGATATAAAAATTATGGTACTTTTGAGTGACCAGAGACAAATATACAGATTACAAAAAAGGGAAACTGTACTATGATGAATACTGAGGAAGCCATTGCCTTCAGAAAATACTAGCCTCCAGGCTGGCCCTGGTTTCAATGCTTTCTGAACCACGAGCCCAGGTCAATGAGTGAGAAAGTACTGAATCATTGAATTACTGAGTGGGAATCAGAAAAGGACTGCAGATGCTGCCTCTATAGATCTTTTGGCTTTGGTTTGCTTAACCACTTGCCCTCCTGAGGATTTACTCCCCTTCCTGACCAGGCCATTTTTGTGTTATGGCACTGCGTTACTTTAACTGACAATTGCGCGGTCATGCAACGCTGCACCCAAATGAAATGTACATCCACTTTTTGCTATTAAACATGTCCAGTAAAAAAATTAAAAAAAAAAAATCTAATTTAGTCAGAAATTTAGGCCCAAATGTATTCTGCTACATGTCTTTGCTAAAAAAATCCCAATATGTGTAAATTAATTGGTTTACGTGAAATTGATAGCGTTTACAAATGGCGGTATATATACTGGGATTTTTTAAATTTTTTTACTAGCAATGGCAACGATCAGAAACTTATAGCGGGACTGCGACCAGCATTCTGACACTCAGGGGAACTGACTTGTTGCCCAGTGACACCAATAAACTGACCAGTGCTAATAAAAAGCACTCACACTGTAATAATGACACCGGGCAGGAAGGGGCTAACATGTGGGGTGATCAAAGTGTTAACTGTGTGCTGTGTGTGTTTTTTTTCTGTGGGGCTGTGTGTTTGTGCTTTACTGTACAAACAGTTCCCCTCCCCGTCATTGATGCTTGTCAATCACCGGGTGCCGGTGAGTAATCAGCAGCCGGGATCTGTTGACTGACAGCCACAGAAGCGAATGGTGGCACGCGACCCCTACCCAGAAATGCAAAATCACGGTTATATATACACGTGATTTTGCACGCCTGTGCCGCTCTGTAGCAGTACTTCTGCTATAGGGCGGACGGGAAGCGGTTAAGGGCCAATTCACACCTGTGCATTGTGTAAATATGCGTTATGTTAAGGAAACCTCTTGATTGAAAAACACACTGTGCCTTTGTTTCTGACACAGTGAACTGAAACACATGGTATGGTATGACATCTTCCACTGCAGCACATTGCAATATAGGTGTATTGTGAATTTGTGTTGGGTTGCCATTCAAAATAAAATGGCAATGCACCAACGTGTGTTAATAATATACAGGATTTGTATTGTGCCAATAGTTTGCACAGCGCTATGAACAATACAATTCAATATGCTAGGTGCCTCCAGCTCCTGTACTGTGAGGGAATTCATTCTTAAACCTCACAACAGAGTCTCTTGGACCCCACTGCCAGCAACCTGTCAAAAGCTAGGAGAGGCTGAAATATGCATCGGCTGGATACCATAGCAAGCAGTACCAGCAGTTAGGGCCGTATGTGTTCAGGGACATATGCAATACATGCAGAATTCAGCCTTCCATAGCTTTTGACAGGCTGCTAGTAAAGGGCTGAAGACTGCAGCTATGCCTTTCAGGTGCCCACAAATGCTCAGGTTTTATGCCAAACTGCCTGTGTGCATGAGGACTTAAAAGTCAGGGTCTAACAGCTTAGAAACATCTGCAGTTGGTTTACATTAGAGAGTTGGCAGGCTTCCACATTTCTGGTTCTATAGTAAATAGCAAAAATGCCAAGATTTTAGGCTGGGTTCAAATTAGCCTGCAAGGTAAAATGTGCACATGGTGACACTTCATTTATGTCACTGCACAGGAGTGTGGTGTGTAGTGCTGCTGTGCAGTGACATGTTGTGCAGAAAAAAAGTCAGTCCTGCTGCATTTTTCTGCACTGCAATGCATTGCACATCATACCAGTGTTGTGGTCTGAACAGGACATATGTAAAACAATATTCTTCTATGCACTCTAGATCCAGTGCAGAAAACAACGTAGATCACTGCACATAGTGTGAACAAGCACTCAGGGCCTCTGTTATCTGTTTCTTCACAATGCTTATTTAGAATATTGAAATACTTTAGTGTGCATTGTCTGGGCATAGATGTGTTTAACAATCTATATATTGTTTGCTTGTGTCAGCAGGTCAGAGAACTTTCATGGAAAAAAAATATGGCAAAATAATGTAGCATATACAATTGCTACATAAACCAAGATGTAATTTAATGCTATTAATGTAGCGCTACCCCTGTGGAGGCCGCTGGAAGATGACTGTCCCCAAAGGTTGCCCTGTCCTTGCAAGCCCTCCGACACCTCTGACACCCTAGGTTCAGACATGGTACACGCAGGATCACACTTGCAATGACACCAGATTTTAGTAAAGCAGTTGGATGTTTATTAGAAGCTTTGAAGTCAACAGAGAAAGGAAAAGATTATTAGGTTGGTTAACTTTTAGTATGAGCAGTTTAGTCCCTGGGGACTCAAATCACAGATGTACAGTAGAGGTGAATCAAACCGCAATTACAATTAGACCTTTTAAAGAACTTTTGACCCCAGGCATGAAAGAAAATAAGGAAGACTTCCCTGTGTTAATCCTTCCCTTTAAAACCCTTGACACCACAGGCCTGGCAAATATCAACACAAATTATAATTACTCAACATAAGAATAATGCGGCATACGTAAGAGTAAAGCACAGAGTTCTTTAAGTGAAGGCAAAAGGAAAAAAAGAAAAGGGAAGAAGAGTCTTGGCAATGGAGTGTGTCCCAGAATCCTCAGTTAACACGATTATGGCCCCAAAGGGGCTTGCTGTGTAATGGCAACCAGCAATGATGGAAAACATAGGTCAGTGTTTCCTGCAAGAGGCCTTGTGATCATAGAAGATGAAATAAAGGTGTCTGCATGCAGTGTCCTTGAAAGAGTGTACTCAGTGTGGGCTTCCACCCGCTCACCAATCCTGAAGATACCAAGGCTCAAGGGATGAAGAAATCCTGGAACAGGGTCTTAAAGGATCCGGGCCCAAAGGAAAAGAATGATCCGTGCACCTGGCGACACTGAACATCAACTCGGCCTGTCACAGTGATGAAGTGACTGACACTGGACAGTCACCCCATCAGCAAGGGACTGGAACAGAAGATCTGCCTGCAGGTATGTAGTTCTGCTGGCGGTTCTCCATGCTGTAGCAACAGTGAGGCCTGCTCTAACTCTCCAGAGCAGCCAAGCCCCTGCTTTCAGCCACCAGTGGTGATCCCAAAACAACGAGCTTCTCCCAGATCTGGTCCTAAATATCCTTTCCCTGCATTCTCCACTTCTTTCCAGTTGGCTGGGCCTTGTAACCTTCAGCAGCACTGGCTCCATGCAGAGACCCAGCTCCTCAGACTACATGTCCCACAATTTCAGGGCAATCAGGGCACAGGATTACAGCTACCAAGTTGGACACTAAAGGGAAACAAGCCCAATGCTGTTTTGTTAAAATGTCTCTGGGTCGTGTGGGTGAACTAACCAGTACTTGGCTGCATTATGCTTACCTTTCATTTGCGTTCCATGACCGCGCTCTTCTCAGTTAAAGTAATGCAGCGCCGTAACGCAATTAATGGCCTGGTCAGGAATGGGGGTAAATCCTCAGGAGGGCAAGTGGTTAATCTGCAGCACAGTCATTTTTTGTAAACTTCAATGCAATTTGGAAACCTGGAGGTGTTCTGTACACCCTATCATTTCCTGCTTGTGTGATTGGCTCACTGATTTTCCCAAAAGTCTTCACTAAGCTACAAGTCAGATTTTAAAGCGGAGTTCCACTCACTCTATAAAAAAATAAAAGTCAGCAACTACAAAAACTGTAGCTGCTGACTTTTAAAAAACAGCCACTCACCTGTCCCACGATCCCGCGTTGCCCCCACCGCAGCCCGTTTCACCGGCCATCCTGTATTCTAGGCGCCGGCATCTTCAATGTGGGCACCCGGCTGTGACAGCTGATGGCTTCACAGCTGGGTGCCCACTGCGCAAGCTCGAGTAGCACTGCGCTTCCTGAATGGCCCCATTGTCTTCTAGGACCTGTCATGTGTCCCACAAGACTTTGGGGAGGGAGAGTAGGAGGACAACTTCCACCTCCGATCACCTAGGCAATTGCAGCAGAAGTGGAAGCGGGTACCTGTCAAATTTGGGTACCTGTTCCCCCCCTGCTCCCCAAAGGTGCCAATCCTTAATGGGGAGAGGGGGACCATCCTTTAAAGCGGAACTTCCCCTTTTGGGTGGAACTCCGCTTTAACTCTCCTTTACAACAGAAATTTAGATTTTGGTGAGATACTCCCTTGGAATTAATTACTTCTAAAAGGGATGTAGACACTGTAACGTTTCTCATTAGAACACAAAGTGCATCAGCAAATTATACTTAACAAGACCCTCATATTCAGAATGAGTATGCAGTCAGTCTGGTGAAACAACCAGCGATTTCTTCACAGCAACAAAAAGGTAGGAATCTGCTACAGAATTTGTTAACATTCTTTCAATGTACGTTGATCACCCAGAGTGGATTTCATTTTTTTCAACAAAAATGGAGTTAATCTTTAAAACTGGACTCTGGGTATGTGTAAAATACCCACATTAATGCAGTTTCCTAATTATTATATTATAATGCAAAAATTATATATTATATATATATATATATATAGATAGAGATGCTTTCAAAAGTTCATTTTTATCAATTTACAAAATGCAAAGTCAGCAAACAGAAGAAAAATCTAAATCAAATCAATATTTGGTGTGACTACCCTTTGGCTTCAAACCAGCATCAACTCTTACACTTGCATACTTTGTACACTTGCAGAAAGTCATGGATTTTGTAGGATTACAGTCCTGGGTCATAACCATGGCAAGACTGCATGGCAAGAGTGCAGCAACAAGGCACAAGGTAGTTATAATGCATCAGCAAGGTCTCTCCCAGGCACAGGTTTCAAAGCAGATTGGAGTTTCAAGTTGTACGGTTCAAGCTCTTTTGAAGAAGCACAAAGAAACGTTGAAGACCGTAGAGACAGTGGTCTGCCAAGAAAACGTAATGCAGCAGATGAAAGACCCATCACGCTTACTTGTCTTTGTCATCGGAAGATGTCCAGCATTGCCACCAGCACAGAAATAACAGAAACCAGTGGGACACAGGTACACCCATCTATTCTTTGGAAAAGTCTGGCCAGTAGTGGTCTTCATGGAAGAATTGTGGCTAATAAAAAGCCATACCTCTGATGTGGAAACCAAGCTAAGCATATGGAACTATGCACGAAAACATAGCAACAGGGGTGCTAAAAATAGCAGCAAGTTCTCTGGACTGAGGAATGAAAACTTGTAATATTTGGCTGTAGCAGGAGGCAGTTTTTTTCGCTGAAGAGATTGAGAGCTGTACAATGAGTGTCTGCAGGTAACAGTAAAGCATGGTGGAGGTTCCTTGCAGGTTTTGGGCTGCATTTCTACAAATGGAGTTGGAGATTTGTTCAGGATCAATATTTTCCTTAATGCTGAGAAAAACAGGCAGATACTTATCCATCATGCCATACTATCAAGGAGGCATGTGACTGGCCCCAATTTTATTCTGCAGCAGGACAACTATCCCAAACATCCAAACAAATTCCATTAACCACTAGCCTACAGGGCACTTATACCCCCTTCCTGCCCAGACCAATTTCCAGCTTTCAGTGCTATTGCACTTTGAATGACAATTGCGCGGTCATAAACATTGTACCCATATGAAATGTTTATAATTTTTTTGTGACAGATAGAGCTTTATTTTGGTGGTATTTAATCACCTCTGGGTTTTTTATTTTTTCTTAAACAAACCAAAAACCACTGAAAATTTTGGAAAAAAAACCAAACATTTTTTCTTAGTTTTTGTTATAAACTTTTGTAAATAAGTGATTTTTTCTCCTTCACTTATGTGCGCTAATGATGCTGCTCTGATGGGCACTGATAGGTGGCACTGATGAGGCACTGGTAGGTGTCCCTGATGGGCATTGATAGGCATCACTGATGGGCACTGAAAGGCAGCACTCATATATGGCACTGGTAGGCGGCACTGACTGGCACTGTTAGGTGCCACTGACTGGCACTGTTAGGCGGCACTGATAGGCAGCACTGATGGGCACTGATAGGCGGCACTGATGCACACTGATAGGCGGCACTGACTGGCACTGATAGGTGGCACTGACAGGAGGCATGGATAAGCAATGACAGCTGGCACTGATGGACACTGACAGGTGGCACTGCTGGGGCTACACAGATCATCAGGGCACATCAGTGCTATGCAGAACCATACAAAGCAGTGTGCAAGAGCTGACAGGGGAGAGATCTGTGTTATACACAGGTTTCTCCCCCATCGGTAATACTCGGTGATTACGGGTGCCGGCGAGTAATAACCAGACAGGACCCGGTGATTGACAGCCAAGGCCGCAAATGGCGGTGCAGGTAGGGCTCGTGTGTGCTACCTACCCGGAGATGCAAAATGACATATATATACACATGTGATTTTGTGCACCCCTGCCATCCTGTAGCAGTATTTCTGCTACAGGGCGGAGAGGAAGCCGCTAATTTATCCTTTCAGAAAAAATTAAAAGGTGAACACCCTGCAGCCACACCTGCCAGCTGTGGGGTATTAGTTTAGCGTTACATTTTTTAACTAACTCTTTAAAGTGAAAACTCCAGACAGTTTTGAATACAGTGGGAAGAAGTAGAAGTCAACCTATTTGTTGTGTCCCCATTGTGGAGATGTACCCCTACTACTTTCCCAAGTGACAAATTTGCAAAGGTGATATTTTCTCTAACTTTGAGGAGATTTCTTTTAAAGAGTAATTACACTTTTGATAAGGAAAAAAAACAATCCGCTCTGGTACATTACAAGGATTTTAAACTTTGTTGCAGATTCTTACCTTTTGTTATTCTGAAAAAATAGCTGTTTTTTTTTGTCTGTGAAAAGTGAACATGAATAAGAGTGTCTTTAGAATGATCAATCAGCTGCTGCACTTGCAGTGTTCTTATGAGGAAAGTGGCAGAGTCCGAACCCCTTTAGATGTGATTTCCCTTTGGGAGTATCTCACCAAAAATGAAAGTTTGTTGTAGAGAATGCCCAAAATCGGGCTTGTATCTTAGTGCAGTCCCAATTCTGAGGGGTGTTCCATATACTAATCTGTGTACAGAATGCCTCCAGGTTGCCATATTGTATTACATTTTATAGAAAATTACAGTTCTGCATATTGAAAAGGAAAGGTAATTTAAATAACATTCAATTACAGCATGATTTGTGTACCAATTGTATATGTTGTTGTTATTTTTTTTTTTTTCCAAGAAAACAGAGTTACCCTACTGTGTCTCTGGGAACAGAGACGGCAATAAGAACCCAACAGATTGTGTCTTATCCAAGTGAAAATCCAAACATAATATAAAAAATGGATGGAATTTAAAGGTACTGTAAGAGGCAACAATTTTTTGTCTCGTATGGTACCCTTATTGTCTGTACCTTTTTTACATTTTGTTTGGATATTCACTAGTAACAAATGTAATATTAGGGTGGCCCGCCCACCCACACACACACACACACACACACCAGAACTTACCTGAAAAAATCTCTCCGGGTAAAACAAAAAGAAAGGAGTCTGGACATTCTGCGGCTGACCCCACGACTGGCTGATGAAATAATTATAACACAGCGACTGATCTTGGAAATTTGCAGTCAATTTAAAAGGAATGGAGTCACTGGATTTCAATAGAAAAGTAAGCCTGTAGAAAGAATACACAACCAGTATAAAACTTCCTCATTAGTAGGGATGCACAGTTACCCTTTTTTGAACGGCACAGGAGCAGTGGGGAAACTGCATGTGATTTGGAAAGGAATCACACCGCATTCTGTTCAAAATGCATGCTATTCTTTGTAATTTGGGTCAATACATTTTTTTATTGCCCCAATTCGCACCGCAATGTATTGTTTTCAGGTATCGGGAGCATTTTTGTGAGTACGAGTATCCGTACTGTTACCTGTTCATTAGTAATTACCCTATTTATGATCATTTTCCAGATGAAACTCACACTTTTTAAAAAATAGGAATTCCTAGTCTGAAGTGTTGTCATTGTGCTTTGAGCCTCAGACAATTCCTTAAATTTTCCACATTCCAACAGCTACAAGAAATGTTAATCTTTAAACTGTGCAAAGTGGAAACAACACTAAAAGCAGCAAAACTAAAGTGACAAAATTGGATTTTTTTTTAGCATTTGTGTAATAGATCAGTCATCAGCGGGCCTAATAAAACAAGCCTCTTAGCATTGCCTGGATTTCAAGATCTTATTTTCTTAGTACAGAAATGCACGATAATGAAATAATCTGATTGGCAGCTATATAGATGTCCTAATAAAACAAGACTCCATTCCTACAATATTCCTTGAAAAGTAAAAAAAGACCACTGACTCATCTGCGTTTACGGTCACTAAACCGTGGACTGTGATTGCACGACATTCAGACAGACCCATGGGAAAAGTCTTTGACAGCGGTGTTTTTTTGCTGAAAAATAAAGAAAAAATTGTTAGCCAAATTAAAAAGAACATTTGTTAAACTGCTGGTATCCAAGTACTGTATGCAAACCAAGTTCTGACTTTACGTTACTCACTGTAGTCATACATAACAACGAAAATAGCAACTGCAAGTCAGCAATTGAACCTTATAGATTTCTATCAGCATAGGCATGCCTTTTGTCTAGGTATGCATATCTATTAGCTGCTCTACTGTTATTTATTATTGTTTATTCTCTCTCATTTAAAGCACCAGAATGACTGCATTTGATGTCATATTACAATATATCAATACACTAATAAATTACAATACTTAGAGTGTATTTCTACTTTTGCAGCCAAATTGCGATAACTGCTTTATATTTGTTACATGTCGCCATTTACATAACATAGCCTGAAAAATAAATATTTAAAAAATTGCTCATCTTTTCGAATGCTCTGTTTTGAACCCTCCAGCAGGGAAAAATATCTTTGTTTGAAGGGGGCTGGGCAGCTGTGTTTTAGATAATTAACCCTGTCTGTACTGTGCAGGCAGATCTTCATTATCAATTGTAACTAGATTTGAACACTGTCTGTCCTGATGAAGGGTTAACGGTATAGAGGCTGGGCTTTTTACACTATATGTTAATGAGCAGAGGCTTGGGGCAGACTCCCTCTAACATTGATCAAAAAACCTTGCAGTCAGCCATGACACCTTGTCCTGAAAAAAATCTAAAAACTGAATGTTTTTTTCTTTTTTGGCCACCTCTGTGGTAAAGCAGACTTATAGTGTATTGCTACTTTTGCAGTCAATTTTAAATGTAGCTCCACCCTCAAAGGAGCCGCTTGGTAACTTTGGGTTTTCTGTTCTGCTTCTTGACTCCAAGAACAACCTAAGCCCCTCTGACATACCTGGTTGAGTAAAAAAAAAAATCACTGCAGGCACAAGTAAAGACACAAGTGTAAAATACCCTTTAGCTGGATATGGGTTGCTACTAGTAAATAGACATATTCCTTGTTTAGTGGTAAATAGACTTAATCTATTGATATGGGTTGGAATAAATGGCAATTTGAATATAAAGGACCACGCACAGGTAGTTTATGACACAGTCTGCTAAACAGATTAATAACTATGCCAAACTGGCAAAAAGTAGATTTTATACCACTAACTAGAATCAAAAGGTGAGTTAGCAAATCAGCAATAAACAATATTTATAAATGTTCAGTGCAGTATAAATGAGGATAATACTGTTCTGGATTAGAGTGGATTGGCTGGGGTACAGTGTCTCTTAAAAGGTATCTTTTTAACAAAGCAAAGGCCTGAGGGCAGGCTCTGTTATGCGCAGTCTTTAGATGTGACTCTTCAGCTGGCTAAGCATTGAGGGCCTGGTAACCATTGGTGCACTTTAAGGCAGACAATAAGGCCTGCAGGCAGTATTAGAGCTATAGGGTAGCAGGTAAGTGGCTGCTAGGTAGTTCCTAATGGCTCAGTTTTTAGTGCTGGTAACAAGGTGTGGCCACAAGGCCCTCTCACCAAACCCAGCGACAAGGCAATGATCCCTCCGATCAGGTGTCCGCTCACTCTGGATTACTTGTGGTGACCCTGGTAGGCAGCACAGCAGGTCTATACCCTGGCAGTGGCTTTGTCCCTCCATGCTCGGGTCACGCTCTGTACTCTGGTAGCCCCACACACACAGCAGTAGGCTTTTGCTGGCATAAGCTCTCTTTCCCAGCACAGTCCTCCCACACGCTCTACCTGGGTAGCATTGAACTGAAGAGAAAACGTTTTTCTGGAAATATCTGATTCTCTCCTCCTTACTGCTGCAAAGCTTGGTGGGGGCTGTATTTCTTCTTCTATTATTTTCAATCATGGGCAGCATGTCTCCAGGAACTACATGTCCCATAATCCTCATATCCTCCCTGCCAATTGGTCCATTGCTATTGCTAGGAGAGAAGTGGAAGATAGTCCAAGCACACCAGTCCTCCCTTGTGGTTAAACCGTCGCTGCTGAAAGGAGGAGGGGTATCAGGGAGTCAGCAGGTGGGATGACTAGATGTATGTAGCTACACTAGAAAACTGGGTGCAGACCATATAAATATATCTTTAAAGTGAGATTTATTTACAGTGAAACAAAAGATAACCATGCACCAGCAAGTAAAATGAAAATGCATGAAAAGCAAAACTAAATGCCAAAAATCACGCAACGCAAAATCACTTATATACGCGATTTGCATTTACGGGTAGAGGGGCGCGCGCGCGCTACCTGTACCGCTATTGGCTGCTGTGGATGACAATCACCGGGTCCAAACCGGGACTCGGTGATCATCAGTAAAGCTGGCAGGGGAGACCCCTGTGTGTAAACACAGGTCTCTCTCCTATCAGCATGGACATGCTGCTTTGTATCTCTCTCACAGCAGAGATACAAAGCAGCATGTCTCCTATGTAAAACAGCACACAATGTAAAACACACACAGCACACTGTTAACCCTTTAATCGCCCCAGATGTTAACCCCTCCTGCCCAGTGTCATCAGTACAGTGTCAGTGCTTTTTATTAGCACTGATCACTGTATTAGTGTCACTGGGGATGTCAGTGGCCATTAGTCAGTTTCCACCCAGTTTCAGAATTCCCGCCACAGTCCCACTATAAGTCTCTGATCGCCGCCATTAGTAGTATAAAAAAAATAAATACAAATTCCTGTATATATACCATTTGTAGACGCTATAAATGTCATGTAAACCAATTAATATACACTTATTGGGATTTTTTTTTTAGCAAAGACATGTAGAATACATTCATAATTGTCGGGTTATTTCTGCTTAAAGAGCAAAAATGAAAATAAACGCAGAGGTGATAAAATACCACTGAAAGAAAGCTCTATTTGTGGGAAAAAAATGACATAAATTACATTTATGTACAACGTTGCATGACTGCGCAATTGGCAGTAGTTAAAGTAACGCAGCACTGTATCGCAATAAATGGCCTGGTCAGGAAGGAGGGCAAATCCTCTGGAGGGCAAGTGGTTAAGGTGGGAAAATGCCCTTTATTGTATGATTCAGTAATACCAGCACTAGAATGCGGGACTACTAAAAACTGAAAAACACTTTAAACTCTTAATCTTGCAAGACACTGTAACAGATTGTACACTATATCTCCAAGCTCATATAGACTGTCATTGCCTTTAGGACATTACTTTATGTATTTGTACGCATTTATGAAATTTTCTTGGATAAAATAATTCTTTGCTTTGTCTACCTGGTTTACTGCAAGGCTCTGATTTCAATCTGAACTCTGGGCAGCTATAAAAAACTGCCTGTAGTCACATGTATAATATATGAATCCGGTCTGATAAAAAAAATGGCAGAAATCAGATGCTTTATGTTTGGTTTATGAACTTACACTGGCTCAGTTTTTCTGGAGAAGTTGTTGCATCTGGGTATTTTTCTGCAGTATGTGGAAAACAACTTTGCAAAAACAAACTTTTGCTTTTTTTTAGCCAATAGACAAAGTAGATGCTAAGCTGATCATTCCCGCTTTAAGGCCATTTATGCAGAGCATTATCATGCATAGTGTTAAGCAAAAACTTCATACCAAACTCCATAAAGTCCCATTAGACAAGACCCTTTTATTGGTAATGCATTACATGGCAACACACTACCATGCAATGCAATGTGTTGTGTCGTGCTACATAGCAGGTGTATTGGGGTGTCATTCAAAAGGAATGCATAACTACAATGGTGGTTACTGCAATGCAAAAATATAATTTTGCACTTAGCAAAATGAAAAAATGAAGGTCACAATGCTCTGTTTATAATTCACAGACTTTGATTTTAAATTGTTTTCAGTTTTTTGAATGAATTATGGCAAATACATCTTCACGTAGAAAGTGATATATACTATAATGTACAGCGCGGAGCAAACCTTTTGGCGCTATATAAATACTGTATAATAATAATATATATAGCAACAGAACAGAAACCGTAAGCTTCTCACTTTAGTTTAAATAGAACACAGTGATAGAATGCACTTAGCGCATCAGCCCTGGCCATATGGTTTGTGATGGTTGACTAAAGATGAGGAGAAAAGAAAACAGAGAGAGAACATAGAAGAGGTAAATGAGTTAAGCAGTACCCCAAATCTCTTTGGAAGACACTCCAGCCCAGTGCAAGAACATTTTCCCATGAGATTTGGATTCCTTAGGATTCCCAGGACCTCATTGGAAAGAGTGTGATGTCACCCTCATGGTGAGATGAGTGGCAGATGGGGGCAAGTATAAATAAAATCTGCACTTTTTAAAGGAGAGGGGTCCCAGCATGAATATGGAAAAAAGAAGCTAACAAAATTAAAAAAAATAAAAAATGATATATATATATATATATATATATATAGATATATATCTATATATATATAAAAAAAAAAATTTTTTTTATTTTGTTTTCTTCTTTTTTCCATATTCATGCTGGGACCCCTCTCCTTTAAAAAGTGCAGATTTTATTTATACTTGCCCCCATCTGCCACTCATCTCACCATGAGGGTGACATCACACTCTTTCCAATGAGGTCCTGGGAATCCTAAGGAATCCAAATCTCATGGGAAAATGTTCTTGCACTGGGCTGGAGTGTCTTCCAAAGAGATTTGGGGTACTGCTTAACTCATTTACCTCTTCTATGTTCTCCCTCTGTTTTTCTTTTCTCCTCATCTTTAGTCAACCATCACAAACCATATGGCCAGGGCTGATGCGCTAAGTGCATTCTATCACTGTGTTCTATTTAAACTAAATATATATATATATATATATATTTTTTTTTTTTGTGTTATTGCAAAGTGTATGTTCAGGCTAAATTTTATTTTTAGGTTTTGAATTAGTAGGGGAGGATTAGAACCTCTGTTGGGTTTTATTCATCATTCACATGGGCTTACCTATGCGAAAATCCGTGCAAAGGGCCATCTTCAAAGCATCCATGTCCCGGCAGTCCCATTAGATGCACAGACACAGCCGCTGATCCCAATTAATACATCTATGCGGGTCCCTGAACTCACAGTCTGCATTAGGGGACACACACTCACATGGATGTCATAGCAAAATCCCATTAGACATGACTGGGACTGCATGCATGCAGAAGTATGGAACACCTGTGAATCCGTAAGGGCAAAGGTAGCCCTTTGCATGAGTGTATTCATAGGAATGCCTGTGTGAATGAGGCCTTACTTCTCTCTAGGTATCGGTTTTACATATTTCCCCTCACAGTGACAACAGTTTCCCAAACAGGAAGTGATGGAAAATTTGCAACAGCAACACAGACAATAATAAAAATAAATGATATAGTAGAATAGGAGAAGGCTAGAACTTGGATTTCATTGCTCTCAAAAAGTAAGAGTTAAGAGAAAATCTCTACAATGAAGATCTAGATGACAGCAGATCTGACAGAGGTTCTGACCCTTCCTCACCCTAAAACTATGATCAAATGATTTGGCTGAACAAACACTTTAAAACTGTTGTAAAACTTATTCCTTAAATGATTCATACTCACCCTCACTTTGCCAGAGATGCACTGAAAGGTCTACAGTGCACATGGCCATTTCTTAATTTGTTGTTGATAGATTTAAAGGAAATTGTAGAATCAAATTTCAACGTGTATGGTCAGCTTAAGGGCCCATTAACTTGTGAGTTATCACAACACTCTGAAAAACTGTGATTTTTGTATATTGGATGCCTACCATGGATACCACTCAAACAATCTGACAAGGCATTCTAAAATTGCAGTGATTTGACACCTCAGGTTATGCATACATGCTAGCCATTTCAAAATGTTTAGGCACATCAGACTGAATATCTATGAACACATGCAAAAATATACCTACCAGATCTGCCCTGCCGGATTTTAAAGGCTGCAAAAAAAAAAAAAAAAAAAAAAAAAGAAAATGTTTTTTAAACGGTTTTCATTTATATAGTCTCAGCTATCAGCAATCTTTTGAATACTTGGTAAAAAGCTAATATTTCAGCTGAGAACCAACAAACCCCAATGTCTTCCTGCCAAGCTCCAGCGTCCCTTCAAAAGGGCCTTTATACCTGGGGGGTGGAAAGGCCTGCTTGATCCTGTGAGCATTGTAATGGGTTGTCACAAGGTCAGTTTTGTCAGGTTCTGACCATTACTAGAGACCAGCTGCAGTTTTTGACAGCTCATTCACTGTGCGGAGAGCAGGCTCTCTGCACAAAAATCTCAGCCGCTCATGGAAATGCATATGTGATATGTAAGTAGCCAGAGGTTAAGAGGTTAAAAGAGAACTACGGGCATATGTAAATCACATAGACTAGCCCATATGATATAGATAGCTTTTGAATGTACTGCTCAGCGGTCTCTTCCTGGTTCTTGCAGCTGAATCTTGAATCTTCCTGTGCTCTGGGGAATCCTGCTGAGATATTCAATGTTGGTATCCCAGGAGGCGTTACATCATCCTTGTTGAGGCAAGAATGGCAGCAGGGGAGCATTTTTTTTTTTAATGCTGCTTTTTATGTTTTTCAGGGAGAGGAATGGAATGGTGGATGTGTAATTACTGAGTGAATGTTCTCTTTAACTTTGTGAGCCGATACTTTGATGAGGTATGATAGACACTAGAACAAAGTTCTCACCTCTCAGCTCTTTCAAATAACCTTACTTCTCTACGTCAGTCAGTAATGTTTTTTAAAAGGGAGCAACTATCATTCTCTTCTGGAGCAGAGCCTGGTTTTAAGAGCTGGAAAATGTGACCTAACCTGGCAATTCATATTTACAGAATTAATAAAGAACTAGGGGTACCTGTGGCTGTAGCTTAACTGCTGTAAAAGTAGATGTCACAATTATAGGTGCTATTTGAAGAGCTCAAGCCTATCGTGTATGCAACTGACTGTTTATCATTATTGCTTTTCTTTGAGTTTGTTTCCATTACCTCCACTATTTCCGCTATTTTTCATACCCTCTCACTGTAGCATACACTGGAAAGTTCTAATTTTGAGTTCTAGTAGATCTGGCTACATACAAGAAAACATCGTTGTAATTTACAGCTAACCCAATTAGTGTTAGACTTCATTAAGTGTTCTTGCATGGCAAGACCACTTACTGTTATCTCACATATATATTCTTATTATTATAGCCAAATTTACCACCCTAACTCCTCCCACAGTTTTTACACTACATAGACAGTAATATACCGAAACTTGCGGATTGTTCCCGATTGATGTGCTATTACTTTGTGGAACGTTTCACCGAATGGTTCACAAAATATCTGCGTTTTTGTGGTGAAATTGGTCCCATAGGAATGAATGGCGGAATGTTCAAAACTAGAGTGGGAGCTGACAAAAGCTAGAGTGTGAGCTGAAAAATCAGGACATGATTTCTAAACTGCCATCACTCCCTCATTTTCAAGCCCACCTACACAAATCTTATATCAAAACGTTCAGCTATCCCTGCTGCCACTACAAATGTTAAGCCATAGTCCTGATAGTTTTCACAATATGACCATTTGTTTGCAACTCACGCCACCCATTGACATTCATTGAAACTCCACTCTAGCCACCTCAAATTTGAAGGGCAATTTCTAAACTGCGACTGTGTCTTCATTTTTAATATTTCAGAGACATACTATGCATCAAAATGTAGGTCTGGGTCTTGTGATTCTCACAATATAATAAGCTCTTCGGTGTAGGGTTTATAATTTTTAAACTACAACCGTTTGAAGATGGCAACTGCCAGTGAAGTGAGCAAGTTGGAGCAGTTTGTTTTTAACCACTCTTCTCTGCCCTTGCTGTAGAGTGAGTTTGCCATAGGAACCCAGGTGTGTGAGCAGGCAGCAGAGTGACAAGCCACTCCAGCCAGTTACTCTGCCCACTCCAGTTGTAGACTACTGGTGGAGGCAAGAACACTTCACGCAATTTCCCCAGAAATTTCAGCTTTTCTAGTTCGGTTTGATATCTAAAGATACTGAATAGCATTGGGAGTTATTTACACTCAATATTCAATTACTTCTAATCACTGATTAGATCAAATGTGGCCAGAATATAACCCTCTACATGGGAGCTTGAAAGTCAATGACTTGAAACAGACATACTGTATATCCTACACAACCCTATTTTTCCCCTAGTTTTGAACAAGCAGGAAAAGGGTTAGAACTTATAACAGTTATTTTGCTGTCTACGTCCCCATTGTTGAGATATCCCCTTTTTTTTCCCAGGACAAGAAAAAAAAAAAAATATGGAGAATGGGGATCACTGCGACAGGAAGATGGACTTTGAAAAAATCTGGCAAAAGCTACAGGGCCTAGTCAGATGTGTGTTAGGCAATGCAAGGAGCGAGCCACAGTGTGTTGCGACTAATTGTGAATGCATTGTACAGAAGAGGCTAAATCACAAAACACCACCACATACTGTGTGATCTGATGCACTGCGCTGTAAAAAAGTGTCAAAGTTCATTTTTTCATCTATTGTGGCACATGGGCAGTCTATTCATAAGGAATGTGCTGCCTAAAAAGATTGCATGTTGTCATGCCGCAGTTTGAATCTGCCTTTAACCTACTCACCTCTACTAAAAAATATGTATTTGCTGCTGACTTCCCCCACTGGAGAAATTTCTTTTCACTTCCTGTTCTGGGGACAGCCCATCACCAGGACAGAAGAAAGGAGAAATCTTCTCAGTAGGGAACCAAACTGCAATAAAATCTGATAATGTAGGAAAAGAAACAAAGCAAGAGGTGCTGTGTAAATGTAGTCTGCAAACAGTATTATAACATTATTGTTGTCACAATGGGGTTGATTTACTAAAATTGGAGAGTGCAAGATCTGATGCAGCTGTGCATGGTAACCAGTAAGCTTTAACTTCAGCTTGTTCAATTAAGCTTTGACAATAAAACGAAAGCTGATTGGTTTCTATGCACAGCTGAACCAGATTTTGCACTCTCCAGTTTTAGCAAATGAACCCCAAAATATTTACACTATTTTTTTTTGTTGCCAGCTCAAAGAAGTGTCCATTTTATCTGCATATTTCTTTGCCAGAAACATAAATTTTAGTGTTTTTTATAAAATTCACAAAGTACAGAATACAATTTGAACTACTTCAGTAATACTAAGGGGTATATTTACAAAACATTCTGACATTCACCACAGGTGAGTCTTCCTGGTGCATGTGTTTTAAATAATTTGGTGAAAGTCACATTCCTTGCTTTAAAGGATATGTTCACCTTTTAGAAAAAAAAAATTAAAATACACATTTTTTTGCAGGTATAAAAAATGTGCATTTATTATTATTGTCTGCAGGAGCCTGTAAACCATTGCACCAGCGATCAGCAGATCGCTGGTGCCATGCAGGTCTCCTGCAGATATACTGACAGGAAGAATGAATGAACTACCACGGCGCTTCACAGCACCATGGTAGTTCATTTAGGACTACAAGCTGACAGCCGCTAAGACTGTTGGGAACTTGTAGCCTCTCATTCACAGATGACTATGAAAGAGTGACTCAGCCATGTGGGCGGAGCACCACACGGCCATGTTTTTTTTTTAAAGTTGACAGCTAGCGAGGGGGGAGAAGATCCCCCGCTAGCTGTCAAAGCAGGGATCGGGGGCCAGTCTGATCGTAACTTGTTACACCCTGAATATGGATGTAACATATTACAAAAAAAGAACTTATCCGTTAAAATATGCCGATTAATTGTTTTAAAAATAATAAGATATTATTAATCGTAATAATTTAGGCAACATAGAAAATAGAAATCTTTTGCAAGACAAAATGACATCTTGATTTATATAAAAGCTAAAAATGTAAAAAAAAAGCTTTGGTCCATAAGGGGGTGTCGGTAAAGATAGGCATAAATGTAGTAAAGAAATATAAACAAATGGGTACATTTCAGTATAATGTATTTACACTGGCCTCAACACCAGTAATATTCTACTAGGTTTTGGTTGTTACATTGCATTATTAGCGTATAAAATATTTTCCCATAATATGTTTTGTGCAACGAACAGCACTAGAAAGGTCAATTAATATATATTTATAGTGCCGCGCTCCTACTATAGGTTTTTAATCACATATAGTGTGTTCATCTAAATAAATAAATAAATTAAATAATGATAATTAATAATAAGTGATTGATGTGACATATAAAATCAATATTAGAATTAAAATCGTTAATAAAAGTGCTTATACCATATGTGCTCAATCAATAATAATATTACAATAAATAGTGTAAGTATAATTCATAATAGTGCATAATATGCATTAATAAAAAAAGTCTTTTTTATATATAAATTGGTGCAATATGCAATGTGCAGGTGAACTCCTTAATCCCACTTTCCAGGTGCGCGTGTGATCTCAATATGCGCTCACCTTAATATTTGCCCAAATAAAATTTAGGCAAATAAATTTTGTCCTTCCAGGACTGGTGGATGAATGTGCTCCTATATAAGTATTCCAAATGGGAGTGAAGGTCTGCTTCCTCTTTTTATCTCCTCTCACTCCTAACACATAAGCACATAGTACTCATGATGATATCATTTGGATCATATGTGAATCTCTCCTATTTCCCCTCCTGGGGACACCTCCTCCTCTTATCCACCTTTCCTCAGAGTTGGTGATGCAAATCAAATGGAGAAAAGAAAAACCATGGTGCCTTATCCTTTTGTATGAAAGTAGTTTATGGCTGCCAGAAGCGGTGATATAGCAGATTATGGCACTTATCTGTTACAGATATATAGGAGCTGATAATGCTCTCTGCCTCTCTGTCTGCCTCTGCTGGAATCGCCGATCTTCTCCGATGCAACGTCGTGAGTCAGAGCCCCTCCCCTACGCGTTGCGTCACAGGGTCACGTGACTTCATCAGGGGGAATATGATTGGCCATATCATATTCCCCCTGATGAAGTCACGTGACCCTGTGACGCAACGCGTAGGGGAGGGGCTTGACGTCACGACGTTGCATCGAGAAGATCGGCGATTTCCAGCAGAGGCAGACAGAGAGGCAGAGCATTATCAGCTCCTATATATCTGTAACAGATAAGTGCCATAATCTGCTATATCACCGCTTCTGGCAGCAATAAACTACTTTCATACAAAAGGATAAGGCACCATGGTTTTTCTTTTCTCCATTTGATTTGCATCACCAACTCTGAGGAAAGGTGGATAAGAGGAGGAGGTGTCCCCAGGAGGGGAAATAGGAGAGATTCACATATGATCCAAAGATCCATTCATGAGTGGCTATGTTTATGGAGTGAGAGGAGATAAAAAGAGGATCTGAGCAGACCTTCACTCCCATTTGGAATACCTTATATAGGAGCATCATCCCACCAGTCCTGGAAGGACAAAAAGTTTATTTGCCTAAATTTATTTGGGCATTAATATTAAGGTGAGCGCATATTGAGATCACACGGGCACCTGGAAAGTGGGATTAAGGAGTTCACCTGCACATTGCATATTGCACCAATTTATATATAAAAAAGACTTTTTTTATTTATTTATGCACTATATGAATTATACTTACACTATTTATTGTAATATTATTATTGATTGAGCACATATGGTATAAGTTAGCACTTTTATTGGTATAATTCTAATATTGATTTATATGTCACATCAATCACTTATTATTAATTATCATTATTTAATTTATTTATTTATTTAGATGAGTGACACACTATATGTGATTAAAAACTATAGTAGGAGCGCTGCACTATAAATATATATTAATTGATCATTAGACACATAACCAAGTGAGTTTGTGAATGTGTCAGCGCACCCAGTATTACACCTAGGCAGTTTACAATTACTAATAATTAAACGAACACCTCAGTCATAGTAGTCTCACAAGTATTCACCCATATTTTTTAGATTTAGCACTAGAAAGGTACATTTTTCTGTAGTCTGGCTCCACCTTGTGCAAAAATGCACAACTGCAATTGATTTTTTCACTAAAATATTGTTTTGTAATTTACCGGGCAAAAAGGATATGGAGTCATCTCTTCATGAAAGGGCTGTAGGATGGATAAAAGCAGAATTAGAGTTAATTGTTTAGAAAAAAGGGTCTAAGTATGAGAAGAAGGAGAAAAGAAAAGAGAAAAAAGGAAAAGAAAAGAAACTACATTCACACTTATAATTATAGAGAAATACGAATACCTAAAGAAATCCATTTTCAGTAGACAAACATGCCAAACACACACAGGTAATAAAAAGATAGATCCTTGAAGTTCACACTGGCCCTAATTTTACAGCCATAAGTCTGAAGCAGGGTTCAAAACCCAGAGACATCGTTTAACTATGTAAATGCTAGTCTGAGCAGTGTCAGGTTCATAAAAAACATTTGTAAAGCATTTAAAAAGCTTCATACATCTTTAAGCGCCTTTAGTTACAGTCTTAAAATGTATGTTAACCCCATTTCTTGCATGGTTGGCATTATGCCTCACTGTATACAGTTTCTTTAAGCAAATTGTATCTTTGTGTATCTGCTGCAAAGTTTCTTATCTGAAGATCCTGCCAGTAACAGCACTTCTTGTTGCAGACTGACAACATTAAGTCACCTCCTAGCAATTAGCAGTAGTGTTGTCAGACTGCCATGAGCATGTCTTCAGTTGGTCATTGGGCGTTCTAACAGATAGGCAAGTCCAGGGGCAAATTGAAGAAGAACACATGGCAGCCTTACAGATTCTAATGGGATTTCCGGATGTAGCATTAAACAGGTTGCAATAGACTTTACTGCAATTATTATGAATGAACAGTAAGCTACATTTTATTAACTGGGGATTCAAAAGGTCAAGTTTTATGAGGGGGATCATATTGTCCACTGAGTTTTCATAATGAACTGCAACCTATGTCTTTAACAATCTGTGATAGATGAGTTTATTCTTAAATGCTACATTTTAGGTTTGAATGCATCGCTACTCAAATGTAGGCATTTGTGCAAATGCATTGTGGGCTTGGAATTTTGTTTCACCTTCTGGTCCCTGTGCTGATCCAGGGGCTTTGTTTGAACTACTTTTGCTTACAATTAAGGGATTTAAAAACAGCAGAACTGGATTTCAGCAGGATCAACTATGTCCAAAAGCAAAGCAGGCAAAGCGTAGCCTCAGAACAGTGAACCAAGCTACAGAAATAAAATAAATAAAATCTGCAGAATTGTGATTAAAGAGGACTTTAAATACAGAAAAAAGTCTCATCTACACAAACCCTTGCTGCTGTTATTCTTTTTTAGCTTTTATGCGTTTCTGAGTGCACCAAATTTACATTAACTACAATGTGTTATAATGACTTCTAATCACTTACATTACTGCTGAGAAAGGAGATCTCCTTTACGGTGACATCTCCATAAACTCCTAGAGTATCCACATCTGTCAGAGGAAGCCGATAGGTGAAATCCAGAAAATGCTGCCCACCAATGCTCACCTGGTATACAGAATAAAGAATCACTCTAGGTTCAATTAAAAGAGGAAAAGTACTAGATGCCCATTTACCTTGAGGGTTCCAGAGACAAGATGATGAATTGGCTAGAATTCTTTAATGCATGAAAACAGAAGTGTACATGACAACTTCAGAGTGACAAATGACAACTTTGGAGTAACTATACAGGTTACTAGGTCAAAGACGAGTACAGTAAGTAGCCAGTGTGGACTTAAACACCAATGGATTTTCAGCATATGTCAGACCTAAACCAAGCAAAATATACAGTATATAAGCATCTAATTATTTTTACATTTTCTTACCTTGACCTTATTTGTAAGGAAGAGAAAGAGGAGCACAAATGAATTTCCTTTTTTAAATGGGGCTCCTGAAAACTTTAACTCATCTAACCAATGGTCTTTGCGCAGAGTGTTGCATATTATGTGTGCATCTGAAGAAGAAAAGCGGGGGTTGAAATGAAAAGCTATATCAGACCGTGGACGTGTGCTGCAACCACACTGGAAATCAATCTGAAATCTGCAAAGAAAAATAACATATGATGCTGCAAGTTTATGTAAAACATACATATTTGTACCAATATTTCTTTTATTACACAAATGTAATTTATTTTTACCTCTGCAATATAAAGCAATATACTGTATTTATATCTGTTCTACCTCCAGCAGGGGAATATATTATGCCTGTCTTGTCTGCAATATAAAATTTGACCACTAAATGGACAATAAATTTACTGTTTTGCAGAAACTAGAGACTGTTTAGATAACAGTTAAACTAGAACTGTGGGCAAAAACGGTTTTACATTTCCTTTTTGATGATTTCCTACCTTTATTTATTTTATGCATTTCAGGTACATATATACAGCGTCGTCATTTTTACATAGTGCTTTACATATATACAGTATTGTACATTCACATCAGTCCCTAACCCTCAAGCGACATACAATCTAAGGTCCCTAACTCACATTCATACATACACATACTAGGACCAATTTAGACAGGATCCAATTCACCTACCAGCATGTCTTTGAGTGTGGGAGGAAACCGAAGTACCTGGAGGAAACCCACTTATAAATGTTAAGCATGCATATGCAAATAGGTAATTCATCTTCTTGTTAACCAAGTAGTTGCTCTGAAATAGCCTGATAATTTTCAAATCAAACCATTAATTTTTTTTTGGTTTCCTGTTTGTAAAACCAGTGGCTGCTATGCCCCACCCAACGGTCTTGGCATATCCCATCTGTAGTTCTATCTACACCAAGCAGGGTTGTACTTCTGTCCCTGTTGCTGTAGTGGGTGAACTAGGACTTACAGACTCCCGGTCTCTGCCACCCATGGAGGAGGAATCCTAAACATTACAGCTCAGGATGCCAACTGACTGTTCAGGTATTTGGGCACTGCCCTGCTAGTTCTGGATAAGTGACACATACATTTCATACTGAGGCAGTATATTGGGTTACACATGTCCCATCCCTGGCTCTGTGTTCGGAAAGGGAAGGATGTCCTGCGCAGGGACCGGCCAGTGATGTGTGATGCAGAGGGGTGGGCTCTGGGTAGAGGGTGGAGTCATTGCCATTCATGTACTGACATGTTCAGTAAGGGCTTGTCCAATCATAGGGCAGTGGGCAGGCTCTGCTCCAGTGTACGGGGACTGGTCGGGTGTGACTTAGCATGCAGCAGCCCCTCTGATCCTGGGGATCACACACACTCCCCCACTGGATCCCGACATTTCAACCTGCATGGCACAGCTGTTCCTGGGGCTGAAGGAGGGATGAAGAGGTACATTACCCGGGGAGAGGATGGGGACACTTCGCTCTGGTGGAAGACAGCCACTGACAGCTCACAAGTAAGAATTTCTGTAGGGCACCAGACTGTGGATCTTTGTGTGGGAACACCTTTCATAAGTAGTAGACTACATATAATGAACTAAATGTTTTGCACATGCATGCATAACATTTATAAGATTGCCATCTAATTGTCCTGCTGTGTGGTGCTGAGCAGTGTGGCTGGAGAATTGGGGTGTGATTTATGTTGAAGTGTGCGAGTACGCATTCAACATGTACAGGCTTGGTGTACCTGCCCACATTCACTACAGTTGCCAGTAGTTTATGGGAACTGTAGTTTCCTTTTACTGTAGAGAGAGGATATGATGTCATCCAGACAGTTACACTTCCTCCTTGGCAGAGTAGATGCTATCTTTTGAATTACAAATTAACACTTCCTGAAAATTTAGTTAGAATTTTCTCTTTAATGGTAAGGAATTTCACAAATGTGTTATATGTTTAGGTGTTTTGTGTAGGAGGGTGTACTAATGGGTGTATTTTTTGTCTATCCCAGAGATCTTCTTTAAGAGTTAATAAAAATTCCAGTAATTCTGAGAGAAAGGAAAGAGATGCATCTTGGGGGCTCAGACTACCTTAGAAACTGGGAGTGAAGTAGCCAGCGGTCAGAGCACATTTTGGACTAAGACTTGCATCCCTTTGCATCCCCCAAAAGACAGCATCACTTTTAAGAATCACGTATCACCATCTATAGCCTAACTGTTCATTGTGTTTTCTGTATATTTCATATATTGATCGTATGTATTTCTCATCTGATTATTCCTAATAGTTTCACCCGTCCTGTTTTGGTAATAAAGTTTCAATATTACATTCAGTCTGGCTTATTACAGAATAGGAGGGCTTTGCTGCATGTCGAGCTATGCACAGGGAACGGTGTGTAGCAAGGACAGAACAATATCTGCTATATAAAGATTATTTTTTTATTACTTTTTTTGAGCACCATGCTCAGTTCAGAGGTCATTTTAACCTACTTTCCCGCTTTCAAAGATAGCAGCTCACTCTGTCTACATTTGCTACCTGTCAAACTGGGATGTCACTGAGAACTCCCATTTCCATTAACAAATGGGAACCACTCAGCAAAGTTCCTGGTCATGTGATCATGTCAGCTACAACATGGTGTTCACATGATTTTGTTTGTAAACAGCTGTCGTGACTGACATCTGCTTTTTTTGAGCATATAATAATACATTTAAATTAAAAATAAAGTTCATATTTTGTGTCCACTTGTCAGCCTATAATAATAAATCTGAGCAAAGCATTTGTTAAAATATTGTACTAATTTAAAGCATCATACATTATGTGTACTAAAATATCATAAAAATTATAGGTGAAGAATTAGTCAGTGAAGTGTTACCACTTTAACTGATGCTTCCAGACTGCAGCTGTGCTTGTCACCACTGATAGCTAATAAAATAAGGCTAATTTTACAAATTTCCGTGTGCGTATCTGTGTGTTTATACGCACGTTATTAACAATCATGCACTTTATGTACTGCCATTGCCATCAGTTGTTATTAACAGGTGATTTGCTTCATCAAAAATCAAATACCATGCAATAAAGCATCACAAAGATTTGAACTAGCACTGCGAAAAAAATGCCTAATCTGCGTGTGATTCACATATATGTGCAGCTTGAAGTGCAAGTTTCATAGCTAATTGATACAGTAGCTGTTCACAGGTTCATGTCAGTTTTACATCAGGTTCAGGACAGGATTAGCTCAGGATCTTATCCTGTTCACACATATGCGGATTAGGAACGGTTCCCATAGAAGTCAATAGCCTGTAATCCGCACCTGAACCTGAAGCCACTGCTAAGAAATCAGACAATCTGAATCGTACTGAAAACCGCACTGAATCTGCACCAGCCGTCATCAGGGCTACAACAAAACATAATGTAAATATAAGTGTGAATGATAAAATAATGAGCCTAAGGTTACTTTCACAATGAGGAGCTTTTGAAACGTTTTTGCGTTAAAAAAAAAAGCGCCTAAAAAGCTCAAGAAAAATGCTTCCCTATGTATGTGAATGTATATCTATGTATGTTTTCACACTGAGGCGTTGCACTTGCGGTGTGGTGTAAAAACTCCTGTTTGCAGCATTTTTGGGGCATGTTTGATGAGATAAAAAAAACAAACAAACCAAAAACGCCTCTTCCCCTTGAAATCAATGGAAAAGGCCTGAAAAGCACCTCAGAAACATCTCTGAGAAGCGTTTTTGGTGCAGTTTTTAAGTCACATGTCCTTTAAAAAACACTCAGCACGGCAAAAGCGTGTTAAAACTATGCGTTTTTGCAGCAGATCAGTGTGAAAGTAGCCTAACAATCATAAAACATCATGGATAATATACATATACACATACATGTACAGTATACATGCACAGAAATGAAGATGAAGAAATATCAGATAGTAAATGGTAATGTGTAATGGATTCATTTTTGGAATTAATATCAGATTCTACATGGTTAATAGATGCCATTACACAATTATACATAATACTGCAAAAATACACATGAATACAAAATTTAAATTTAAAATGAAATTTGTCTGTAATGCACAGATGTCTAAAAAAAAGGGACTCACAGGTTAAAAGAACTATTAAAAAAACATCATTTCATAAAAAAGGTACAACAAAATCCTAATATATAACAATCATCATTGTGTGGTAAAAATAAAAATCCATCAAGACGGAATAGGAAGGAGGAAACTCACAGAGCGACTGCCCAGTGCGAAAACAAAAGAGGGGTCAGTTTCCAATGGGAGATGTGGCAGGTAGCCATACTGTAGATGACAGTCATGACCCCGCTCATAAGGTGATGAAAACAACTGTACGACATGCCTTCAAGTCAGGACATGGGAAGGTGAGGGGAAAAAAGCAGAAAGAAGACAAGAAGATTGGCTTCAGGATACGTTGTCTCCATGTATCAGTTATAAACCAATGAACTGAGGTTAACCAGTATAAAAGTCAGGTTTTTGAAAAGGCAAAGGCAGAAATGTCATCTCAACCTATAAAACAGGCAACTCGGTAATCCACAACTGATATACAGGGAGGGAAGGATAAATCAGAGCTCAGAGCAGAGGCTGAGGGTTGTATGCCAGGGAGATGCGTTATGGCAATAAGGAGTAAAAAGACTCCCCATGTAGTGAGGGGGACAGTCCGAGTTACCCGGATTACAATAACCCATCACGTTGTATATGCTTGTTAAGGTTGGAAAAATAACTCTCATAGAGACATAGTGGCAGATCTACAAAAGACCAGAAAGAAGCCTAGTTACTGCTAGGGGATAAACCTTCATTGTGAAGAAGGCTTCTACAGGTTCAGTGAGTTTAAAGTGAAACTTTAAGTAAAAAAAAAAAATGCTGAATCTGACTGAACTGTCACATCCCCGCTTGGTCAATAACAGCGTCTGCCAATCGAGACCCGAAAGCTGACTGCCCAAAGATGTCAGCAGCTAGCTAGGTGGGGAAGAGCGGGACGCCACATCCCCGGAGCCAAGGTGAATATAGTTCTGCTTTAAAGTGATATTAAAAGGCAAGTTTTTTTTTTTGAATTTTAAATAAACTGTCATACTTACCTGATCTGTGCAGTGGTTTTGCACAGAACAGCCTCAATCCTCTTCTTGGGTCCCCCGCCAAGTGCCCCCAGAGCAAACAGCCTGCTATGGGGGCACCCAAACAGACTTGCTCCCAAGCCGCTGTTCTACATGTCCATTCACACACACAGCTGCGGCTTGGCTCGGTCCGACCCCACTCCCCTCTTTCCTCATTGGCTCACTGGTTGTGCTTAATGTCTCAGCCAATGAGGAGAGATAGTCCCCAGAGAACCAAGGCTCTTGTGCACATCGTTGGATCGCAATGCTGCTCAGGTAAGTATTGGGGGAGGGGGGAGCTGCTGCACACAGGTTTTTTACCTTCATGCATAAAATGCCCCCCCCCCTCACTGGGAGAACAAAATAGCTCAGCGGGAGGGACAAAGCAGTGTTGATGAGGGAATCCAGCTACTTTTTTTCCTATGCTCAGTTTTAGAGTTGAAAGGTCTGCCATGAAAGGGTGGACAAGCAACAAGGTGGCTTTGATCCTGTATACATTTCTCACTTTTCCCCATACACACAACAGCGACAATGGGAAGATAATTGATGACTACTATGTCTTTGTTTCATCCTGTGTTCAAATCCAGTCTTCCATTTATGCATTGAAGCTGATGTCATTAGGAAATACAGAAGTCAAGACAAAGGCAAACCTCACATACCTTGTTGCACTGCTGTCAACGACTCCTTGTATGAGGATCATACGCCCAGGAAAAAGACCCCCAAATATCGTACATGCGTAGGGGATAATCTGCACAGGTGAACAATAAAAACAAGATACGCTAAAAATGTCAAGAATGAAGCAATTACAGAGCCAAAAATGAATGATACACACTGACAGGATCCCAAGGACAAAGATAATTGCATGAGGATATAGCATACCACTACAATGCACATGGGACCATTTTTGGACATCTCTCACCCCCTTTTGGTAATACCCCAGGTCTTGACCAAGACATCTTTTGTGTTACACTATTGTGCCTCTGGTGGCTCAATTTATTTCATTTTCTTTAATTTGCACTTAACCAACTGACACTTGTTCCACTATGCACTAGATGTTCTGATTTCACAGAAGTTTGGTAACATTGATGTACCAGCAGGTAAGCAATACAGTGTTCATTTTTTTTTCTAGCTTATTGACCAAAGGAGTAATCAACTGAGTTCATATCATATATAAACTTATGTTTATTTGTATAGGTTATGTTATAGTTTCAGTCATATTATTGTATTAGGCAGATCTAAGGCTCTTTCATTTTTTAAGACCAGTAGTTAACAGTCGTTAAACTTCATATACCATATATTGTATATTACAATACCAATACTGGAGGGGCTGATTGTGTATAGGTGTGTGCATGTGTGGAGGGCGTGTGTACAGGTGTGGCGGAGGGGGCTGGGGGTGTATGTGGGGGGGTGGTAGCTGAGTATGTGTAGGTGTGTGGGGGGGCCGAGTGTATACAGGTGTATGTGTGGGGATTGAGTGTGTACAGGTGTGAGGGAGGCTGAGCATATACATTTGTGTGCATGTGTGTGTGTGGGGGGGGCTAAGTGTATGCAAATGTGAGGGGGGAGGCTGAGTGTATACAGGTGTGCGTGGGGGCTGAGTGTATACAGGTGTGGGGGGGGGCTAAGTGATTACAGGTGTGTGGGGGGGCTGAATGATTACAGGTGTGTGTGTGTGTGGGGGGGGGGGCTGAATGTGTACAGGTGTGAGGGGGGCGGAGTGCTTATAGATGTGGGGGGAGCAGAGTGTGCATAGGTGGGGGCCCCGAGTGCTCACAGCTGGGGGGCCCTCCGAGTGTGCAGGCTTTATATTTTTTGGCCAAAATATAATTCCTTACTGTTAAATCTTGAAAGCACTGATGGCTTTGAATACATTTTTCAATAAGTTGTGAGAGTGTTAAAATAAAGGTAGGTGCACTGAAGAACGCGGTGGGGTGGCCAGTGGGGGCATTTGGTGGGATGACCCGTGGGCAGGCCCTGGGGAATGTTGATGGTCAGGCCAGGGGAACCCAGGTCTAAAGTTGTGTAAGGGGCCCAAAAATGTCTGATGGCTGCCCTGGGAGGAAATATAAGTGAACTACGAATGCACTAATTACCGCACTTCTAATCCATTGAGAACTACAAGTCTGTCTGCAACGGTGGCATACAGGAACTGTAGCCCATTTATTCTCTGTATTAATGAATGATGAGGCTGTAAGCGCGGAACAAAGTCATGCCAATTTCAAAAGTGACAGCTGCTGCAGTGGAGAAGAATCCCTGCACACTCTCATGGGGTGCAGGGTGGGTTCTTTTGGAGATGAGGGAGTTGCTTAGCAACATCTTACACCCTAAATACAGGAGTAAAATGTTGCTAAAGCTGGAGTTAGCCCTCAATAAATTGTATTTGCAAATTTTTGTGTTCGGAGTCTTGCTGATGTAAACTGATAATGCAACATAAAATCAAATCACAGGAGGCAGAACACATACGCCAGTAACTCCAGTCTGGTAAAAATGAGCTTCTGGATAGGGGCAACAAACCTAGAACAAGCATCCAGCCAGTGAAATCATATACTTGCCGACCGCAGATAGCCGAATGACGGCTGCACTGCGGCCAGCCAGTTTTGGGTGGACACCATATGACGTCCTCCCAGAATGCCCTATCCTACACACCCCTGGGGGCTCGCACCCGACGATCTCCGTGATCGCCATGTCCTACGGACACAGCCGATCACGTGATATGGTCAATCACAGCGGCCTTTTACCACGTGATCAGCTGTGTCCAATGACACACTGATCACCAAGAAATGCAATTGCCGGTTATTGGCTGCTGTCACAGCGTGAGGAAAGTACTACCGAGAATCGGCAGTTGTCAGAGGAGGGATTGGCACCGATCATTAGGTCACTGACGATCAGTGCCCTTATGATCAGTGCCCAGCAGTGCCACCCACAAGTGCCCATCAGTGCCTAGCAGTGCCACCCACCTGTACCCACCAGTGCCCATCAGTTCAGCCCAGCAGTGCCGCCAATCAGTGTACAGCAGTGCTGCCAGTCAGTGCCATCCGTCAGTGACACCTATCAGTGCCGCCAGTCAGTGCCCAGCAGTGCCAGCTAAACAGTGCCGCCTATCAGTGCCAGCTCAACAGTGTCGCCCATCAGTGCAGCCTCATCAACGCACATCAGTGAAAATTGTTATAATAGAAACAAAGAAAAACTTTTTTCTTTTTCAAATTTTTTGCTCTTTTTTTGTTTATAGCACAACAAATAAAACCCCCAGCGGTGAGTACATACCACCAAAAGAAAGCTGTATTTATGTGAAAAAAATTATAATTTCATATGGGTATAGTGTTACATGACCACGCAACTGTCATTCAAAGTGCGACAGCGCTGAAAGCTGAAAATTGGCCTGGTAAGGAAGGGGGTATAAGTGCTCGATAGGCAAGTGGTTAAAGACCTGCATACTTGTTTTTTTGTATTTTTATTACAGGTCTTTATATAGTGTTGACAATTTAAACAGCGCTTTACATACAGGTATATTGTCAAATGCATATGCAACAGTCCATTTTCATACATACACATACTAGGGCCAATTTACACAAGAGCCAATGAACCTACCAGTATGTCTTTAGAGTGTTGGAGGAAACCAGAGTGCCCAGAGAAAAACCTATGCAAGACCAGAGAGAACATGCAAACTCTATGCAGGTTGTGTTTTGGTTTGGATTAAGACCAATGATCCTAGCGCTGCAAGGAAGAAGTGCTAGCCTCTAAGCCACTGTGCCTCACCAATGGGGTCACAGACGTCAGTACAAACCTGCTAAAGGTTCTATCACTTCTCTTTTTCCAAAACTAGAAAAAACAAAGTTTTGGCTGGCGTTAGGCTTTAAAAGATAAATTCACCTTTAAGAAAAAAAACAAAACAAAAAAAAAAAACAAATAAAACACAAATGCACAGCTTTTTCCAGGTAAAAATGTGCATTTATTTATTTTATTTGTTTTACTAGGAGCCTGCAAAACACACAATTCTGTAAATGAATGACGTGGCCAGGTGCAGCTTGCTGTGGGGGGAGGGGTGTGAGGGGGCTGCTGAGACAGTAACTTGTTACATGAATACTGGTGTAACATGTTACAAAAGATCAATTTAGCCTTTAATCTCTCCTTCCCCAGCAACACATGCTTAGCTTTCCACATTGATGGCTCAATCACACCACAGTACACTACTTTGTGGAAAATGACATGCGTTGCAATGTGTTGTTATAACGCATTGCAGTGTGTTGCAATAGAAACAAAGGGGAAACATTGAAGTGTAACAGCAGAAAAAGACCACGTATTCCGTTGAGTCTGCTTTTTTTTTTTTAACCACTTCAATACCGGGCACTTTCACCCCTTTTCTGCCCAGGCTAATTTTCAGCGCTGTCGCACTTTGAATGACAATTGCGCGTTCATGCAACACTGTACCCATATGACATTTTTAGCATTTTGTTTCACACAAATAGAGCTTTCTTTGGTGGTATTTAACCACATGCCGCCCAGCCACTGTATAAATACGGCGGCAGGGCGGCACGGGCAGGCAAAACTATGTTTTAAAATGTGTGTTTTTGTAAACAGGAAGGGGCGCGCGCGAGGCGTGCCGCCGCCCTACCTGTCCCGCAGATCACAGCCGCGGATGTTAGTCACAGCCGATCATTACCGGCTATGTCCCGGCGATCGGCGCGGCAATAGCTGACAGAGAGCACAGCTGCAATAGCTGTGCTTTCTGTCAGTTCCCTGACAGCTCCAGGACACGCTGATCGGGACAGAAGAGTTTCTCTCTCCCGATCAGCGGTGTCCCGTGCAGTACACACCCCCTAGTAAAATACTTCCCCTCACACAGATAACCCTTCTCTGAAAAATAAACTTAACCCCTTCCTCCCCAGTGCCATTAGTACAGTGTCAGTGTTGTTTTTTTTTTTTTGCACTGATCACTGTATTGGTGTCACTGCGGATGTCAGTGACCCCAAGTCACTACCCCCCAATGTCAGAATGTCTGCCGCAGTCCCGCCATAAGTTGCTGATCACCGCCATAAGTCCCTAATCGCCGCCATTATTAGTATAAAAAAAACTAAAAATCCCAGTATCTTTCCCGCCATTTGTAAACGCTATAACTTTCACGTACACCAAATAATTTACACGTATTGGGTTTTTTTTTTTTTAGCAAAGACATGTCGCAGAATGCATTTTGGCAGAAATTTATGACTAAATTTGATTTTTACATTTTTTTTTTACTGGACATGTTTTATAGCAAAAAGTCCAAAATATTGCTTTTTTTCCTCAAAATTGTCAGCCTTTTTTTTATAGTGCAAAAAAATAAAAACAGCACAGGCGATCAAATACCACCGAAAGAAAGCTCAATTTGTGGGAAAAAAAAAGGATGTAAACTTCATTTATGTACCGTATTGCATGACCGCGCAATTGTCCGTTAAACTAGCGCAGCGCTGTATAGCAAAAAAATGGCGTAAATTGCAGTATTGCATAGTTTGTAGATGCTATAACTTTCACACAAAGCAATCAATATACACTTATTGGGATTTTTTTTTACCAAAAACATGTAGCAGAATACATTTTGGCCTAAATTTATAACCAACTTTGAGTTTACTATATATTTTTTATAGCTGAAGGTAAAAAATATTGTTTTTCTTCAAACTTTTTGGCTTTTTTTGTCTCTAGCGTGAAAAATAAAAAGCGCACAGGTGATCAAATAGCACCGAAAGAAAGCTCTATTTGTGTGAAAAAAGGACG